TGAGGGGGGCAGGTTGCTGCCGGCGTGAGCCCTCGCCCTCTGCTGGCTGGGCGCGGGTCTGTTGCCTCTCACTTTCTGAGCCGGAACTTCTGTGCTGAGCAGCCCCTTCCTCCGTGCCTGCAGCCCTGGGCTGGGCTACGCTGAGGCGTAGTTAGGCTGGCCATGCCCAGGGGTGTCCCAGATGCTGGGAATCAGTCACCTGCCTAGAATTGAAACCGTGGTACACTGCTGCACCTGTGCGCCCCCCTCCACGGTTGGTTATTTCTATGTGCATCCCAGTGTGAGAGCAGAGCTGATGCCTGTACAGCAGAGCTTGGTTTTCAGAGCTGTACGACTTAAGAGGAAAAAAAATAAAGGTCCAGATTTCCTGGACAGCAGAGCAGGTGTCAGCACCGCCCCACCCCGGCTGTTCTCCGGGGCCCTGGCCATCCCCGGCTGCAGTGGTAACATAGCCTTGGCAACCGAAGCAGCACCATCTGCCCGACGAGAACAGCCCGTGCGGCTCGGGATGTCTGAAGCCCACAGCAAGCCTCGTGCCTGGAAGATGGGGGCCAACCAGCACCGCTAGCGAAAGTCGGCACATGGGCGGCATAGACGGCAGACGCTCAGTCTCCAGCTGTCCAATTTGGGGCTGTGAACCTCAGTGCCATCCGCCCTGAGGCTCCATCCATGCTCCCTCCCACGCTCAGGCTGCCTGTGTAGCAGGAAGAAGTCACCAGCAGGTGGACACCAAAGGAAGTCAGCGCTAAGACCAGATCATCAGTCTCCAGTTCATGGTCCCCACGTGTCCTGTCCTGTGTCCCCATCCCTGGCCTGTCCCCGGAGGCTCAGGGACACCCTGACATCCTGCGGGGTTTTCCCAGGCCCCTCATTTCCCAACAGACCCCCCCTCCCCAATCCCCTTGGCCCCTCCCAGCCTCGCTTCCCCCTGGAGCTGTCCTGCTGAAGGTCCTCATGGTTCCAGCCTCTGCCCCTTGAGCCTCTCACCGTCCCTGCCCCCCAGACCAAGGACCCCTCAGTACCGATGGGCAGTCCACGCTGGCTGGACTGGTACCCACAGCCTCTGGCTCCCAGTGCCTGCGTGCAGGGCCGGGCGACATCACCTGGATGCAGGCCAGACTGACCTGGGGGGAGACAGGCGACAGGACAGCGTCCCAGGCTGCTTGTGGACACGGCGGTTTCTGTGGTTCTCTCTGGCGCCGCCCTGTGGGACTGAGCAGGCAGCCGTGCGCTGTGGAGCTGTGGCCAGCTGCACCCTGGAGTGTGCGCCTCCCACTCCCGGCCTGATTCCTTCTTGCTCCTTCCTGGATTCCTGGGACGGGTTTTTGCTTCTAAGTGAACTAAGTAATTGCCTGTGTGTCCCAGTCCATCCCCTGCTGTGACTGTGTCCCCAGTGGGACGCCCAGTATGGTTCACGTGGACACTTTGGTCTCAAGTTCCGTTTTCAAGGGCAGACATTCGTTAAATGCTCAGGTAATTTTTGCCCAACAACTTACAGAAAAAACACAGGCCAGAAGCCAGGTGACCAGCTGTCCTGGTTTGCCCAGGGCTGAGGGGTTCCCAAGTACAGGACACTCAGAACTGATAGGTGGAAAGTCTCATGCAAATCAGGACACACACCCCCCCTCGCCAGTCACCAGGGCAGATGGTGGGAGCAGTGCCTCCCACCCCCAAGTGACACCGTCCTGGCGCTGCCACCCCCTCCCCTTTGCTTCCTGTCTTCTATTAGGAAGCAGGCCGCTCTGCACTGGTCCTCCAGCCAACCCCATTGAGCCATTCGTTCAGTGCATACATTTGGGTGTGCTTCTGTACCAGGCTGGGTGCCAGGTCCTGCAAAGGGGAAGACAAGCCAAAGCTGGCGCCGTGAAGCACTGGGACTGATGCAGCCACACTCTGTGGTGCCAAGGGCACACAGAGGATGTGCAGGGATGCTGGGGACTGAGTCCTGCAGTGGCAGCCGCCCGGGGTGTGGGAGAAGGCTGTGCAGGTGGGAGTCAGGGAGAGCCGGGGTGGCCATGCTCCTGGTTCCTAGTTTTGTGATTGTCAACGGCGGAAACCAACAGGTGCCAAGGAAAAAGAGGTGTTTATCTTAATGGTTGCTCAGGGGATGAAATGAGATGCGTGTGGCCTCCTCTGCACGGTAGTAACCTTGAGAGTGACTGTGAAAGTTCTGTGCACAACCACTCACCTTTGGAGATGAAGGAAAGAAAGGAAGCAAATGTTGCATTTTCCTATGGACTTCAAGACTGGGGTAGCTCCACTCCAGAGACAGTGCACCTGCTCTTTGTTGTCCCTTCCTCTTGGATCCGGCTGGTTGTGATCTTCCTACTAATGGGCGGTAACGCTGAACGACAGCTGAGCCCATGGGAAGCCTTGTGGCTGCTGCTGTGGTGATGTAGAGCATCTGTTCTAGGAGAAATCACCCCTCTCCCCCGTGGCAGAAGCCTGATTGCTCTGAGCCCTCGGTGCTGTGAGAAAGCCCATCTGGTCGTGTGGAAGAACCACACTGCAGAACCCTGCCCAGCCATCCCACTGCAGGCCCCTGCCCTGTGAGTGAAGACAGAATTTTGGATGAGTCTTCTGGTGCCTGCAGTCCTAGATGTCACCTAAATGCATCCTCAGTAAATAGCCTCAAGTCATCTCAGTAGTTGGCACTGATGCTACCAGCGACAACCCCCGCCCCCACCCTTCAGCTCCTGGTACATGTGCCCTGCGTGATCCCCACCTCCTGAGTGTGGGTGGGACAGAAGAAGCGCAGTGATGGGATGTCCCTTGTGAGACTAGGTTGTAAAGGACTGTGACCTCTGTCCGGCTCTTGCTCTCCTGCTTCTCTGCACTTGCTCCCTCTGCTGAAGCAAAGCTGCTGTGTTGGCCACGAGCCCCACGTTGCAGGGATCTGAGAGCAGTCTCAGCGCCGAGAATGAGCTATGTCTGCCCACAGCCACTTGTGGGGATGGGAGGTGGGTCCTTCCCTGGTTGAGCCTCGGGATGACTGTGGCCTCGCTGATACCTTGACTGCAATCTTGTGAGCAACCCGGAGCCAAAGGACCCAGTGAAGCTGCATCGCATTCCCGAGCCCTAGAGACTGTGAGATTGTGAAGCTGTGGTTTCATGCCACTGGGTTTGGGGAGCTTTTTTGTGTAGCTGTAGGAAACTTATACAGCTGTACCTTTTAGGGGAGCTTGTTAAGCAATAAACAAACCATGGGAACAGGTCCTATGACAAGAAAGTAAAACCCAGCAGCCCACAGTGTTGATCCTGCAGAGCAGAAGTTGGCTGTGTTCCTGGCATCACTCAGCTGGGTAAGAACAGTGCAGCACTGGAGCCAAAAGAGCTAGACCCTGCATTCTAGCAACCAGTCTTAGGCGTGAAGACGCCTTGGAGAAGTAAGCTTCCATATTGGCTGTCTCAAGTGGGTGGGGAGGATGCACGCCTCCCTCAAATGATGGCAGGGCCTGGGGCAGGCAGTGGGTGACCTCCGCCTCCTGCCCTGCTGGCTGAAGAGAGGATGAGTCCACTGAAGATGGGTGTCCAGGAGCTGTCGAAACTACAGCCCGGAGATGGTTCCAACTGCAGCTGGTGTCAGCCATAGCAGGGGCTTAAGAGGAGGTCTGGACTTGGATTTTCCTGCCTTGGCATGAAGACTGGGCAGTTGGAGTCATTGGGAGTGAATGAGTATGTAAGTGAATTTTCCTGTTGAAGAAATCTTCCACTTACGGGTATTACAAGGTACCCCTAGTGTGGTTGTTTTTGGACTAAGGGAGTAATTAAGGCTAAATGAAGGACATGGGTGGATCTCTGATAGGATTCGTATCCTTATAGGGAGAGACGGGGGTGGATCTCTGATAGGATTCGTATCCTTATAGGGAGAGACAGGGGAGAGAGAGACAGACAGAGAGATCCTGTGCACACGCCCACTGAGAAAAGGCCATGTGAGCACACAGTGAGAAGGTGGCCATCTGCCAGCCGGGAAGAGCGCCCTCCCCAGGAACCAAACTGGCCAGCACCTTGATCTCGGACCTGCAGGTCTAGGCTATGAGAAGTCAATCTCTGTTGCTTAAGCCACCTGACCTATGGACTGGTGATGCTGCATGGGCAGACTAAGACAACGTGTTAGGGAGGACTGGAAAATGCCCTTTCTGTTTCAAGCCTATTTAACTCTGTCCAGAGTAGGAGTACTCACTGTTAGTCATCAATTATTACCATGTTAGGGGACGAGGCCACAGAGTACATCAACAGAATGCCAGAAAAATGTTAGTTGTTAAAGTAAGAAGTAGTTGGGGCCAGCACCGTGGCATAGAAGCCTCCACCTGCACAACTGGCATCCCATATGGGTGCCGGTTCGAGTCCTGGCTGTTCCACTTGTGATCCTGCTAGTGTGCCTAGGAAAGCAGCAGAGGATGACCCAAATGCTTGGGCCCCTGCACCCATGAGGGAGACCCAGAGGAAGCTCCTGGCTCCTGGCTTTGGACTGGCCCAGCCCTGGCTGTTGAGGTCACTGGGGAGTAAACCAGCTGATGGAAGATCTCTCTCTCTCTCTCTTCCTCTCTCTCTGTGTCTCTGCCTTTCAAAATAAATAAATAAATCTCTTTTTAAAAAAACCAGTACGAAGTGGGTTTGAAAGCCTTGGAACAAGCAGTGGCTTTCCTAGGGCACCAAGGGTTCTTAGAAACGAGACTATTGAGTTGCTGCCATCAACTTTCAAAAATAGTGAGTGGGGGAGTTGGCAAACTAGACTGGTGACTTGGCTTTAGTCCAAGGCTAGAGGGAAATTATGTTTTTAATCTGGCCTTTAGAGAATGAGTTGAACATTGGGTATAAATCAGAGGTTCTCTAGGAATAGGTGGTGTCAAACCCGTGCAGGTTCTGGAGTTAGAGCCCACCCAGATCAGATACTTCACCCAAATGGGGTCTCTGGGGAATGCTGCAGACACAGTGTATGTGAACCTTAGAGGGCTTTTCAAAACTATTGTACCATTTAAGGATACGCGGGAAGCCTGCATTTTAATATTTATTTATTTTGAGACGGAGAGAGACCTCCCAACCAATATCTGTGACAGCCAGGCTGAGTCGAGCTGAAAGCAGGAGCCAGGATCTCCATCCGGGTCTCCCGTGGGCAGCAGGGACCCAAGTCCGTGAGCCATCGCCTGCTGCTTCCCAGGGTCTGACTGGCAGGAAGCTGGAGTCAGGGGCTCCAACCCAGACACCCCGAAATGGGATTCGAGTGCCCCGACAGTCACCTCGGCCGCTGTGCCCGCAGCTGGACCCTAGGAGGAGAGCTGAGTCTGTAAACGTGTGGCCGTGCTTGGAGAGAGAGTGCTTCGTTGGCAGCCGGCTCTGTGCCTGCTGAGTGCGCTGGTGGGCTTGGGTCTCACTGGGAACTCACCAGTGGGCGGCTGAGCTCATGACTCCTGGGGCGCCTGCAGCGCTCACAGGACGCCCCCTGAGAGGGGACAAACGCCGAGGGGGCTGAAGCTGCCACCCACCCCCACCCCCACCGGCGCTTCCCCTGCTGTGAAATGCCCTTTCCTTCCAGTGTGGGGGTTTAGTTTGCGGGGTGCTAATGGGATCTCTTGCCTTGGCTCCGGCTGTTCTCTCCCCCTCTTCCACTCCATCTTCCTCAAGACTCAGCCCCAGCGAGGTGCGGGCTCTCCCCCACCTCCCTCCTCCCACTCGGTGAGCCTGGTGCGCCCTTCCCCAAGGTTCACCAAGGAATCTCGCCTCCACCCCGCCCCCCACTCCCCGGAACGTGGGGACAGCGGACGTCCTGACCAGCACAGGGGGTCTCAGAATGTCCAAACCTTGGCTTCGGTGCGTCCCTGATGACAGAAATTCAGAGCTGAGCGCCGCGATCCCGAGGAAGGTGCTTGGGGCGCTCGGTGGACGCCCCTGCCACCTGCTCTCCACGGGAGGATCCGGGGCTCGCCCCAGCTGAGATGATTCAGCTCTGCGGGTGGGTGCAGGACCCACGGCCGCGCTTCCTGGGGCGCAGAGCCTGCAGCTCCCATTAGGAGCCGGCCCGGGTCACCCCGCTGGGGCGGCGGACGCTTGCCTCGCTTGCCCGAGAGCATTTTCGGCGTCACAGAGCCCTTTGGGGACACGGAAAGTCACTGATTCTCTGCCGGGGGGAGGAGGGGAATGCAGACAGGGCCGAAGTAGCTTTTGGACAACCACCGGACACTGGGACCCCCCAGGCCGGCCCAATGCCTTGACCAAGACGCAGAAGGGTGAATGAATGAGCGGATAAACGGAGGGATGGAGGAAGGAAGGTGCTGTCCGCCCGCCCTCGGGCCCGGAAGTCAGATTCCAAGCACCTCTGCCTTCCAGGGTGAGCCCCAGCCCCGGGCCGCGCGCCCCCGAGCTCGCGCGCCCGCCGCTTCCGCGCACGTGACCGGCCGCGTCGCGCTCTGATGAGTTTTCCTGGGCCGACAGCGCCCGGGCCGCCGTCGCTCCGGCTCCGGCTCCGGCTCCGGCTCCGGCACCGGCTCCGGCTCCGGCTCCGGCACCGGCTGGGGCTGCCGCGGCTGCTGCGCGACGCCTGGCGGGCTCGAAGCGCGCGGCCCGGGGCCGAGCGCGCGGGGCGCCGAGATGGAGCCGTGAGTTCTGGGGCCGGGCGGGGGGCTCCCGCACCCCGAGTTGGGGCGCCTCGGCTCCCGGGAGCCCTGCCTGGGGCCCCCCTGCGCCCACGTGGGGTCGGCTGCGGGGAAGGGACGCCGGAGGCAGGGAGGCCGAACCCCGACCCGCCTGCCCGGCGAGCCGGAGCTGCCGACGCGGCCGGGGTTCCGGCACCGGGCGGCGAGCCAGCGCGCCCGGGAGGGGCCGGGCCTGCGCGCCCGGGGGCCTCGGCCTCCCGCACGCGTGTGGTGACGTGGGCGCAGCGGAGCCCGCTCGGCCCCCGGGGTGGGCTCTGTGGGAGGCTGGGGATTGCGAGTTGCACTCGGGGGCTGCAGACCTCGGCCCCGCTCCCGCTGTGCGCCCGGGACGCCACCCCTCCAGCGGGCTTTGCACGCGGCAGTGGCCCTGGGGGGGGGGGGTGTCCGGAGAGCGACCCCAAGGAAGGGGTGTCCGGAGAGCGACCCCAAGGAAGGGGTAGCCGGGCGGAGCTGCGGGAGGTTCAGGGGCGCCCGCCGCCCTGGCAGGTGCGGAGGGCGAAGGCGGGTCGGTGTGGGGTCTGCACCTTATTTGGGGCTTTAGGGGCAGGAGGGCTTTGCGCTGGATACGGTGGGAGAAGTCACCTGGGCGGGGGGGGGCGTCCCGGCGATGGGCAGCGCTTGCCGGGGTAGTTCATTACCGCGGTGGCTCGCTTTATTTAGCGCGCGGTGGGAACCCGGACTGGCACGGAAATTGATGTTTTCAGGATCTTTGCTTTCATTCCGTGCCGGGTGTCGGTGAGTTAGGAGGACCACCCCTGCACAACTCCAGGGGGCAACATTCACGTGTGTTCTGTGTGAATTGCCCTGCTTGGAATAGGTAGGGAGCCCCACAGAGTGACAGCCGCATGTCGTGGGGGGCCTGGCCACCTGCCTCTTGTCGGTTGGCACAGCAGCCCCGGGGTGGGCCTAGTGGTGGCCCTTTCAGTAGGAAATAGGGGAGGATGAAGGGGGCGTCCCGTGAGAGTCCTGTGCTGTTACAGGACAGAGAAGTGGCCCGGATGGAAGCTGTTGACCAAGGAAAGTCCCCAGGTGAACCTACACACGCAGCTTGCGCGGTGGACTTGGTGGAGCGGTGGACAGTGTCCCGCTGTGTGGTGCTAGCAGCGCACCTCGGGCTCCAGGAAGCCCCAGGTTGGGGTGCTGGGGTGTGACTGGCTGTCAGACAGCCACTGTCATCCAGCACTCAGAGTGAAACTGAAGTAAAGTTCTCCCCAGAACCAAGGCTGGGCATTGAAGTGTGTCCTGAATTTAGGTGCCCGGTGGGTCCCAGCTGTTCTGGGTTAGGGAGGTGAGAGACAGCAGGGTGGGGCTCGGAGGAGTGGGAGAGCACAGAGCTGCCTTCGGGAGCAGGTGCACTGCTCAGGGGCTGGGGGTGGCCCCACTGCAACCCCTGCCCTGGTGCCCTCCCCAACACACCCAGACTGTCCACATCTTGTAGAAAGGCGGGGGAGGCTGGTTAGGACACCTGTGTCTGGGTTCAGCTCCCAGCTCCGCTCCCAGAGAGGCAGCAATGGTGGCTCACGTGGTTGGGTTCTTACCACCCCACTGGCAGAGCTGGATTGAGTTCTAGGCTCCTGATTCTCCCCTCAGCTGTGTGCCTATTCGGGGAAGTGAACTGGTAGCTAGGCACTGTCTCGCCAGCTCTGTCTCTCAAGCGGCGTGCCAGTCAGAAGGAAGAGTGCTCAGTCCTTAAACCCTCGCCTGGCGGTCAGCCCTTCTCTGAGCAGCTGCCGGTCTGACTTTCTGCTTGGACCCCGGAGAACCATGGCTGAGCCTGCCTCATGCGCACTGTCGCCCTCTCTGTCTGTAGCGTTTGTCTGCGGGGTTCACTAAGGTTGGCCTCGTGTGTGCTGCTTGACACTTCAAACCCTTTAAAACTTTTTAAAAAAATTTGTTTGGAAGTCAGAGAGACAGAGAGGGAGAGAGAGAGACTGTTCATCCCTGGGTGACTCCCCCAGTAGGCGCCACGAGGAGGGCTGGGCTCAGAGCTCCAGCTGGGCCTCCCATGAGGATGGCAGACTCGCACGCTGGAGCCGTCCCCTGCCACCCCCCCTCCCAGGGTGCGTGTCAGCAGAAGCTAGAACCGGAAGTGGAGCTGGGGCTTGATCCCAGGTGCTGCAGTTTGAGATTTGTATGTGTCCCCACTGTGCCGAACACTAGCCCCCACCCCCGAGCTTTTTGTTTGTTAAATTTCAGAGGTGGAGAGGGAGAACTGGCATCCACTGTTCGCTCCCCCAGCGCCTGCAACTGCTGGGCCTGAAGCCCATGTAGGGACCAGGACTCCATTTACTCCAGCTGGTGCCTGCTGCCTCCCTGGGTCAGAGGGGCAGCAAGCCCTGGAGTGGGGGAGCAGGCCTAGGCACTCCCCACCCCCAAGCCAGCTTCTAGAGTGTGTTTTATGTGTCCCTTTTGTTCCGGGGCATGTACGTGTAGAAGTCTTTGAATTAGAGCCCCGTTTTTGCCATCAGTGAAGGTTGCATGTTCATCTTGCAAGTTAAGCCCGAGGAAGCCTGGTTTCAGGGTCCGAGTCCGCTGGGTGTCCTGCTTGGGGGGCACTGGGTGGGGTCAGTAACCTGTTCCTGCACACACCGAGTTATGCAGCATTGCATTTTTTTTTTGAATATTTTTGGGGGGAACCAAGACGATCCCTAGGAACAGTGAAGGGGAGCCGCAACTGTCGTTTATTGGGGTGCTCACGAGCAGCCTCGCGGGTCAGCTTTGCTTACACCGGGGAAGCTGGGTGCAGGGAACTCAAGTGGGTTCTCAGAGCTGAGAGCGAAGCCTGCGTGGACCCACGCGGAACCCACACTTGACCACTGTACTTGACCCCTGTCAGGGACAGCTGCCGGGGCTTGCCACGCCCACGGGTGCCACCATCACAGCGGCCCTGGGCAGGAGACGTGGACGGGCGCAGCCGTGCCGCGCAGCTCACTGCTGGTCCCAGCTCGAGAAGCTTCCAGCCAGGCTACAGAGCCCGGCGCTGGGCTGGGCCCGCTCCTGCGGCCAGCACAGGCCTGCGCTGAGATAAGCTCCCGGCCAGTCGTCGAGCTGCTTCCTTGTTTCCCTTGGCCTGGAAGGGGCGTTTGGTGACCTAAGCAGCACACTCGCGGTGCACGCCCTGGGCTTGTGGCCGAGAGGGGACGCACGCGCACACACACGCTTCTTTGAGCCGTTTCCAGCTGTGCTCGTAAAAGTGCACTTTGAAGTTCTGGGCTCTGAGTGTCCCTGTGGCTTTCTTGAAGTTTGCTTCGCTGTTGAGCAGCCGCAGAAATCACTGGGCAGGTGATGCTGGCCGCGGGACGTTTCAGCTTCGCGCTGCTCTTCCCTCAGAAATTGCCTTTCAAAACCCATTAAATGGCAGGTGTTTGGAAAGAACAGGTTAGGGTGAGCAGTCGGCGTGGGGGAGGGTGGGGCGGCCGGCTTTCTGCCCTGACCGGCATCCTGGGCTCACCTCCACCGCCGGGGGCCTGAGCACTGAAGCCCACCCTCAGGCTCTGCTTCTCAGGTGTGGAATGGGCTGATCACTCCTGGCCCCCAGGGAAGCGCCTGGCCTGGGAACAAATGGGTGCCCAGGAAGCAGCGGCCCCACCCTCTCCCCCAGGGGCTGAAGCCAGAGGGTGAGTGTGTCTGCCGAGGTGGTGTTCAGAGGAAGATGGGGGAATGCTCAGAAATAAACAGAGGGCGGAGGAGAAGCACAGCTCTTTTTTTTTTTTTTTTAATTATTTAAGGTGTGCAGACTGCATGAATTTCATATGTACAGATTTAGGAACACAGTGATCCTTCCCACCCCATCCTCCCACCTGCTCACCCTTCTTCCTCCCCTGCTCCTCTTCCCACTCTTGATTTTTTTTTTTTTTTGTTGACAGGCAGAGTTAGACAGTGAGAGAGAGAAACAGAGAAAAAGGTCTTCTTTCCGTTGGTTCACCCCCCAAATGGCCGCCATGGCTGGCATGCTGTGCCAATCCGAAGCCAGGAGCCAGGTGCTTCTCCTGGTCTCCCATGGGGTGCAGGGCCGAAGCACTTGGGCCATCCTCCACTGCACTCCCAGGCCACAGCAGAGAGCTGGACTGGAGGAGGAGCCACCGGGACAGAATCTGGCGCCCCAACCGGGACTAGAACCTGGGGTACTGGCACTGCAGGCGGAGGATTAGCCTAGTGAGCTATGGCACTGGCCCCCACTCTTGATTTTTTTAAAGCTTTTATTTATTTACCTGAAAGGTAGGGTTACAGACAGAGGGAGGGAGAGACAGAGAAAGGTCTTCCATCCGCTGGTTCACTTCCCAAATGACCTCAGTGGTCAGAGCTGAGTGTGTCTGAAGCCAGGAGCCAGGAGCTTCTTCCAGGTCTCCCACATGGGTGCAGGGGCCCAAGCACTTGGGCCAT